ACACACACACACACACACATACACACACACACACATACACACACACACACATACACACACACACACACCAGGCTCATGCTTGAAAATGAGTTTGTTGCATATAAAGGCTTTATTTATACTCAGAACAAACTAAAAGGCTTTAAGCTCTCTTTGTTCTACTTAGATTTAGCAAGGACCTCTGCTTTTCACTTGAATTCTGAAGATAGTCCAGTATGAATTATTTGTCCTGTTGCTTCATTTCCAGAACCTGTGTATTGTAACTCCTAAGTCAGTATTTCTCCTCAGTGTTTCTTCATGGCAGCAACACGTTATGACCAGACAGCTCTTTTCTCTGAAAGAATACTGCGTATATTACAGAATGTTTAGAAGCATTCTTGGCCTTATGGGTTAGTTTTTGTATTTTGCATTTCAGTTAGATGAAGACACATCACACAATACCTATCAAGTGTCTACAACTGTATAAAAGTGTCTACAAATGTAGAGCAATAACATTTTCCATGATGGAATAAAAAATCAAATATTTGTGTTGGCACTTAACAATAACAAAAGATATGCAACAAAGATAATTGAAACCAAATATTTCCCACATAGTTTGATACCTCACTTAAAACTGGACCTGATAGCTGAGTGTGGTGCTTTTAGCACTGAGGTGTAAGAGGCAAGAAGATGAGTTCAAGGCCAACCTGGCCTAAACAGTAAAACCCTATTTCAAAAGAAGGGTCTAACGTGTGGCCTGAAGCCTCTGAATCCAATCTTCAAGAAGAAAATTTAGGACATGACTGTAGTTGAGCCTAGGTGATGACTCACTAATCTGTGTTTCTTTAAGGACCAAGACTCCTGTGATGTGCAGGGGAGATAGGAGCTAAGAAATGAAGTGGAGAATATCTTTTGTGAAGGAAGGAATTTGGATGGAGACATCAGGCTAGGTTTAGTTTAAATATTTGTTGCTTAGTGTAGTTTCTGGCTCATTTTTTGTAACTCTTGTATATAAAAGTTACAGAGAGAGAGACCACTTAAAGATTCAGTTATTTAATTTTTTTTTTTATTCAGGTGTTGAATTTCCAAAGCCAGTGCTTTATTTTGTTTACTTTCCTTCTCTTAGATGATTGAAGTGGATGAATCTGATGAGGAAGAAAACAGTCTTCCTACCACAGGAGCAGATAAAAGGTAGGCCAGAAACTTCCTGAAAAAACCAAAAAATTAAAATGAAAAACAATAGACTAGTTTGTAAAGTCGATGGATTGTTACTGCAAGTATTTTCAATGAGAACCTATAATTAATTTCCTTTTGTTTTTATTTCACATTGATTTTATTGATAATATTATTTTGTTAATATTTGGCTTCTTTGTTCTCACTTTGTATATATCCAGTTGAGCTAATAGAAAGAGGATGATACACACTCTACCTTCAAAACTGATATGCTGTTCCTTTTGTTTTGATTTTGCCTGTTGTTTTTAAGCTTGACTTATTACCATTCTCTTGTATATTAGCATTTTCTATGAATAGTGTTTGACTAAAATTTGTGTTTAAAATATTTGATGGCCTTTTTATAAAATACTTTGTGTTAAAAACTTTTTGCATTAAATTAGATGTAATGAGGACATGTTTAATAAAGTACTGCCTTCAGGCAATGTTAAATTATACTGATGAAAAGAGTTGATATATTCAAATCCACTAAATAGTGATTGAGTCAGTACATGGGAACTTTTATCAAGCAGACACTTAATTTTGATGTGGTATGGACTCTCAGGAAAAAGCAAGGAATGTGGACTATGGTAAAAAGAAACATTTCTGAAGATCCTTTGATCTTGTTACAGAAATGAGATTTGAAGTTGTTACAATTTTCAGAAGTAGGATGGTAATAGATACATTTTAATATAAGAAGTGTATTAGTTAAAATTTTCTTCCCTTTTTTATAGGTGAGAAAGTTTAAGCACAGGGAAGTTGAATAAGTTGTCTAGTAAATGAAAAAAACTGGAATCCAAACATTCCAGAAACTTTTTCTCTTTCGTAGAATTTTTTTTTTGGTCAGTTGGGCAGGGGCCCTGGGCACTGTCCCTTAGCTCTTCAGCTCAAGGCTAGCATTCTACCACTTGAGCCACAGTGCCACTTCTGGCTTTTTCTGTTTATGTGGTACTGAGGAATCAAACCCAGGGCCTCATGCATGCGAGGCAAGCACTCTACCACTGAGCCACATTCTCCTCTTAGAATTTTTAATTTATTTGTACACGGGTTTCAATGCGATAACCTATAAATAGTTACAACATACCCCAATCCAAACTGAACCCCAAAAGCCCTATTTAAAAAATGATTTTACTTCTTTTAATATTTTTATTTTATATGTTTATGTTTGTTCAGTGGCTAGCATTGGCTTAAAAACCTGAAAGTGCTTTTTTTTTTTTTTTTGGTCAGTCATGGGGCTTGAACTCTGGGCCTGGGCCCTGTCCCTCAGCTCTTCAGCTCAAGGCTGGTGCTCTACCATAGCACCACTTCCAGTTTTCTGGTGGTTTATTGGAGATAAGAGTCTCATGGACTTTCCTGCATGGACTGGCTTTGGACCCTAATCCTCAGATCTCAGCCTTCTGAGTAGCTAGGATTACAAGCATGAGCCACCAGTTCGTGGCTGAAAGTGCATTTTTGATTAGGAAAAATTTCTGTTCTAGTTCATTGTCTTTGTTGTTTCTGTTGTTACTGTTTTGGTTTTTAAATTTGTTGTTTTTTAAACTTTTTTTTTTGCCTCAGGTATTCAAGTACATCATCCAGCAAACATATGTCCCAGAGCCAAATAGCTAAAGGAGTCAATTTTGAATCAGATGAGGTAATAAATATTTTACTAAACTTTAACTGATATTTATCTCTTTATAAAATGAATATAAATACCAGTAGTTAGATGCTAAAAGTTTTTGTTGTTGTTATTGGTCAGGGGCTTTAACACAGGGCCTGGTATGGTCCCTGGGCTTTTTTGCTGAAGTCTAGACCCACAGCACAAGTTCTGGTTTTCTGATTTTTTAATTGGAGATAAGAGTCTCACAGACTTTACTGCCAAGGCTGGCTTCAAACTGCTATCCCCTAATCTCAGCCTGCTGAGTAGCTCGGATTACAGGTGTAAACCACTGGGCCTGGCTCTAAAAGTTATTTTAAAAATAGCTTCACTGGTAACCTTTCTTTGAGTATTAAGTCAATAAGTAACATTTGCTGATGTCCATCAATATAATTACTTCATATAAAAGGCCTAGGGGACTTTAAACATGACTTCCGCTCAACTTTTATTTAATTTTCTCTGTTAAAAGAATCAGTATTTTTTTTAGCTTCTGCCATTTATATTGCATTTATATGGAAAAATAATGGCAGTGATAATGTAAGAGTTTTTAACAAAGTGTTTATGAGGCACCCACTCTGCTCCACATTGATTTTATATTAGAAGGATCATGGTGGAGATTTTCCTATCATGGAGTGTTGAGGCATGGACCAAAATCCTCTCTCCAGGATATGTGGGAAAAACTCCAAATCAAGATGGTTGTCTGAAGGAGACAACCATAAAATCTCAACTAGAATGAGGAAGAATAGAAAGAAGTAGAATCAAACTTTTTATCTTTTCCTTTATTAATTTTTTGAATTAAGTTGAATTAGAGTTACATAACTGAAAGCTACTGGTGTTTCTCTTTCTAAGGCTGTCAATGAAAGCAAGGATTTCTGAATTTTTGTTAAGTACTTAAAGGTGTTTTCCTTTGGCCTATGACCTCCTTCACTACAAGGATATTTCCTTGTAGCTGGGAAGGTGGCTCAGTGGTAGAGCACTTGCCTTGCATGCATGAGGCCCTGGGTTCAATTCCTCAGCACCACATAAGCAAAAAGAAAAAAGCCGGAAGTGGTGCTATGGCTCAAGTGGTAGAGAGCTAGCCTTGAGCTGAAGAGCTGAGGGACAGCGCCCAGGTCCAGAGTTCAGACCCCACAACCGGATCCCCCGCCCCGCCCCCCCCTCCCCAAAAAAGAAAATATCCTTGTAGTAAACACCTGTAACATAAAATGATCTTCACTTTTTTTGGGGGGGGGAGTCTGGTCGTGGGGCCTGAACTCTGGGCCTGGGCACTGTCCCTCAGCTCTTCAGCTCAAGGCTAGCGCTCTACCACTTGAGCCACAGCACCACTTCCGGCTTTTTTCTTTTTGCTTATGTGGTGCTGAGGAATCGAACCCAGGGCCTTGAGCCTGCAAGGCAAGTGCTCTACCACTGAACCACCTTCTCAGCCTGATCTTCACCATTTTTAAGTGCACAATACAGTAGTATAAATATATTTACATTATTATAAAACAGATCTCTAACTTTTTGTCTTACAAGACTGAAAATCTGTATCCTTTTTATCCCTTAAACAAGTCTATATTTCCTTTTTTCTTTTCTCCTTAGCCTTTGGTAGTTACCATTTCTCACTACTTTCTTTTCCTATGTATTTTTCTACTCTAGATACTTGAAGTATTCACAGGTTTATCATGCTGTGGCAGGGAGCTTAGCTCTTTTCTTTTGAGCCTCTCCATGAATATGACAACAGTAACTGGGGAAGGTTTGCTATAGCTCATGATACAAAGAAAAATGACAGCGAGAGCTGTCCACCTATTGCATGCTAACCTGTCTCATGCTAGCATGTACTTAGGTGTTAAAGTTCTGCTTCATCAAGGCCCAGAAATTCTGGAATCCAGCACCTATGAATGCTGAAAACATGGCCCAACACAATTCATTCCTCCTTCAGGCTGTTTATTGCAGGTGTTTCAAGAGAAAAAAAAAGCTGTCAGTGCAGAAGGAAAAAATGTGATGATATATATCCTAAACCACAAGTTGCAGATTTGTAAGATGAACAGATAAAGATATCCAGTGTTCAACATGAATCTGTCATTAATAAAATCTGCATTGTATTTGCAATGAGTATGGTTTAGATTTGATTGTCACAAATACATAAAAGATGTAACTTTGTGAACTGATGGATATGTTAATTAGCTTGACTGTAGTAACAATTTTGCTGTTATGTATTTCATAGTATCATATTGTATATCTTAAGTACACAGCATAAAATTTCATTTTAATAGCTAAAAAAATCTTAAGGAAAAGCATGATTAGCAAGTTCTTTTCATCTTTATTTTGGAATTATCTTAAAACTATATAGTTTGGGCTTATCTGAGGTTTGTTTTCATTCTAAAATTAATTAATATATGTGATATTCTTACTTATTCTTACCATGCATATAACTTGGCACACCTGTTTGGAAACTCAGTCAGTCTGAGAGTGTCATCAATTCGTGACAGTTAACAAAGGACAGATAAACAATTAAAGCTGCTTTGGAGTCAGAACTTCTGTATGTGGCTTTACTATTTTTGTCTGGCTTTCCAGAAAAGAAGATATTTGTAATATAATGTAAATGAGGGAAAACAAACTATTCACAAACCAATTAGATATGGCTTGAGGTATACTTTTTTTCCTGGCTTACCTACACCTTATTTATCTTTTTTTTTTGTCAGTTGTGGGGCTTGAACTCTGGGCTTGGGCTCTGACCCTGTGCTCTTCAGCTCAAGGCAAGTGCTCTACCACTTGAGCCACAACGCCACTTCCAGTTTTCTAGTGGTTTATTGGAGATAAGAGTCTCAAAGACTTTCCTGCTCAGGCTGGCTTTGAACCCTGATCCTCAGATCTCAGCCTCCTGAGTAGCTAGGATTACAGGCGTGAGCCACGGCACCTGTCTCTCATTTATCTTTATTAAGGTTAATAACTGGGGGAAATGAATGTGTATATATTATTGATATGTGTATTATGTATATACACACATAGGTATATAACTTGAGAAGTCTTTATTTTGGGGCATAGTGATGTAGTCCTAACATTTGGGAGGTAGGACTGTTCAAGGCTACAGAGTGAGTCCAAGAATATAACAGGCTATCTAGCATGTATCTGTCTAAATAAATAAATAAAATAATTAAAAACATTTAATTGAATTTATATTTCACACTTAAAAAGGAATGTAAAAATTAAATCTGTCCCTGTGATTCACTGATATTTTAGCATAATAAGTTCTTGTTTCAATAAAGTAAGGAGGAATCACTGACTTAATATTTATATATTATTTCAGGATGATGATGATGATCCTTTTATGAATGTCGGTTCTTTAAGAAGAAACAGAAGATGATATATTTAATGAAAGCCAGACATTTTCAGGATACAGGAACAAAAATGGAAATGTTGTAAGAAGATTTTACAGTTAGAGATGTTTTAAACATCTCTAATTTGTTAACTTGAGGAATTTGCAAGAGTGAATAGAGAACCTAATGTATAAGAGTTTATATTTTCATATACTATTTCCTGAACATAATTCAATTACTTACATATTTCCTAGTTTATGGAAATAAAATCAGTATAGGTTCTCTAGTATTTTATTTTTTTTCTTTTTTAGGACGTTGTTCTTGCTAGACAAGCACTTTTCCTCTGAGCTACATCCCAGCCCTCCTCATTTTTTCAAATGTAGTTGTTAACATTGGTAAGAATGTTGTATAAATTTAGAACATTATATTCCTGATATATTAATGTATATTCTAATAAAAGCTTTGCTTAAATGCTGGTTTTAAGGAAGGATTAAAATGCAACATTATACATTTATGCTTTATGATAAGGGTTTTCATTATCTTAATATTACATTAATCAGAGTTGAAGGGAAGAACTTACAAAATTTAACCTCTTCATAATTTTTAATATTTTCTGAGAGGTTTTGGATTATGTGAAATTAAAACCTTGTATATGCCTTGATTGTCATTGTATTTCCTGTACTTGCAGCCTCACAGATTTTGAGTGATTAGAAGTACCCTGTATTTTAATGAAAAGTTTTTGTTAGAGGAAGGAAGGGTTTTTCATTTTATTTGTGGCAAAGACTCAGATTATGTTTCATTGAATGGTAATAATTTTCTCCATTTACTATCATTAGTGACATTCTCTCTCATTTTACTCTCTCAACTACTTTTAGGAAGAAAGGGGTTAAGAAAATTATACATTTTTAGGAAGTGGTACTGTGGCTCAAGTGATAGAGTGCTAGCCTCTACCTCCCCCCACCCCCCAAAAAAAGTATATTTTCTTTTTATTTTGTCATGTGGGGCTTGAACGCTGAGCCTGGACGCTGTCCCTGAGCTCTTCAGCGCAAGGCTAGTGTTCTACCACTTGAGCCACAGTGCCACTTCTGGTTTTTTGGTGGTTAATTGGAGGTAAGAGTCTCACGGACTTTCCTGCTTGTGCTGAACCACGATCCTCAGATCTTAGCCTCCTGAGTAGCTAGGATTAGAGGCATGAACCACCAGTGCCTGATGAAATGATACATTTTTAAAATACTGAAGAACTTTTTTTGGGGGGGGTGGGGGGTTCAGTCGTGGAGCCTGAACTCTGGGCCTGGACACTGTCCCTCAGCTCTTCAGCTCAAGGCTAGGTATTCTACCACTTGAGTCACAGCACCACTTCTGACTTTTTTTCTTTTTGCTTATGTGGTGCTGAGGAATCGAAGCCAGGGCCTCATGCTTGCAAGGCAAGCGCTCTACCACTGAGCCACCTTCCCAGCCCCTGAAGAACTTTTTAAAACCTAAGTGTTATTGTTGTATTAGATTAAAACACAGAAATACAACTTCTCTGGAATATAATTTCCAAGTTTTCTTGCCAGTAGTACTTTATTTTAACTTTGGTTCCTGAATGGACAGTCCTAGAAATCTTAGTCAAAGAACTCATGTTATGTTTATATTTTCTTATTTGAAGGAGGAAGTTAACATGTTGCCTCTTCAGATTTTTTTTTTTTTTGGTTGATTGTGGAGCTTGAACAGCCTAGGTGCTGTCCTCAGCTCTTTAGCTCAATACTATGCTATACTACTTGAGCCACAGTGCCACTTCTGGTTTTCTGGTGGTTTATTGGAGATAAGACCATCAAAATAATTTGGATTTGTCCAGTTTCAAGAAAGAGCATTTGCATCGTGGCTATGGTGTTAGACATTTTAGAAATGGTCCAAGTCAGCTAAATGTAGTAATCCCAGAGTTTGGGAGGCAGAAGGTTTGTGAGTTCAAAACCACACAGTAATACCTTGTCCTTCCCCCCCCCCCCAAAAAAAAGAAAAGAAATGGCCCCAGTCAAAAATTACAGTGTAACCTGCTAAGGCATTTAGAAATGTTTCTAACCATGAGCATAGGATTGTTTTAACAAGCAGCCTTCATTAATTCCAAAAAAGGCAGTGTCTCTTCAAATACTCATGGGTAAATTTTCCCTTATCTTTATTGCAATCTTTATTTAAATCCAAAGTATTACTAGCGTTTGGATGGAACAAAGGTTTAGCCTAGGCTTTGTGGGCTTAGTTGTAGAGTAGACACTGAGAGGGATAACCAGTGTTCCCCCTACTCTTGGCACACTGCTCAGACTGATCTTCAGGAGTGTAAGCTAGTGGCTGTTCGGAGAAAGAATTTTGTCTTAAAATTGCTCCAGGGTGTGACAGTGGGAAAGGGGCTCTTGAACCTGATGGAATTACCTGCAAAGGAAAGTGTCCTTATTAGCAGGTACCCAGGATGAAAAGCTCTTCCACTCATCCAAGTCATTTTGTGAGTCATTAGTATTCATTCAAGTAGATTTGTTAGTAGGCAGTGTATATCACACCCTTTTTGACTAAGTGTTCTTACATATTTAAATGTGCCCCATATCCTTGATTTATAGATGAAGGCAGCAGAATCTGTGGGTTTGTTTTTTTTTTTTTTTTTTTTGTCTTTTTTGTTGTTGTTGTGGGGCCTAAACTCAGCCTAGGCATTGTCCCTCAGCTCTTCAGCTCTACCATTGAGCCACAGTGCCTCTTCTGGCCTTTTCTGCTTATGTGGTGCTGAGGAATCGAACCCAGGGCCTCATGCATGTAAGGCAAGCACTCTACCACTGAGCCACCTTCCCAGCCCTGGTTGCTGATTTGGGGGGGCGGGGGGCGATTTTTTTTTTCAAACCTTCTGATGCATAGGTAGTCAGCCTTCTGATGACTCCAGACCACCCATAATCAGCCTTTGGAGCAGTGGAAACATCTGAAGAAAGCATTTGTGGGGCATCCTTCTGTGATTTCCAGAAAATAAATCTCTTTCCAGTGTCTTGTTTCCTATCAAAAACTACAACAGAGTTATGAATGCACTACACTTTTAGGTAATAGAACTGCTTAGAAAATTCAAGTGTCTAGGCCAATGACCTTTAATTCAGATACACAAAAAAAACATTGTTTTCATGAACTCTAAAAGTGCTCATCACAATGAAGTCTTGTGATTTAACATAATTAGAAAATGACCACATGTCACTTTACTATTTGCAAGTCCAGGAAGTAGTTACCACTAGTGCCTGGGAAAGCCAACCCTGCATTCTCTCTGGGAAAGCAGTTTTACTGCTGCAATTCAGACTTCTTATTTTTGCCACAAGGTGGTGCTGCCACTGTTTGATGCAGTTGTGATATTTATGTGTCAGGTTTTCATTCATAGTATTTTGTGGCTTTTTAAACAAAATGGTTATAAAAGTTTTATGTAATAAAGATTTGGCTTTTGTCAATCCACGAAGCTTCCATATTCTTGGTTACAAGTATCCACATTTTATCATTTTTTGGTCATCTTTTTAATAGACTTGAATGTTTATTCATCAGATTTGAAAGTCCTGTTTCCCTTCCCTGGTGCTGGGATTGTAGATATGTACCACCGCTTGTGGCTTCCTTAAGTACCATAGTTTATTCTACCGTGCTGTACTTGTACATTTTAGTATTTCTGCTATTTACAAGTACGAATAATACTGCAATAGTGGTTAGTATTTTTATATTTTTGGAAGTGTGTCTTCAGAGAAATTCCTACAAGTGTGATTTTTTTTGGGGGGGGGGTCCAGTCGTGGGGCCTGAACTCTGGGTCTGGGCACTGTCCCTCAGCTCTTCAGCTCAAGGCTAGCACTCACTTGAGCCACAGTGCCACTTCCGGCTTTTTTCTTTTTGCTTATGTGGTGCTGAGGAATCGAACCCAGGGCCTCGAGCATGCAAGGCAAGCGCTCTACCACTGAGCCACCTTCCCAGCCCCACATGTGTGATTCTTGAGTAAAAGAATAAACATGTACTTCTGTTCAAATGTTGCTGTCTTCTTAAATTTTATGTGGGACTTGGGCATAACTCAGGGTCTCTTGCTTTTGCTCAGCTATTTCACCTACTGCTGACATTCAACACTTGACACCTTCCAATTCTTGCTTTTTTGCTAGTTAGTTGGGGATAAGAATATCCTAGATTTATCTTACTTGGGCTGCCTTGAAACTAGGATCTGAGTGGCTAGGGATGGCAGCTGTGACCACAGGCTAGACCAAATTCCCCTTTTAAAGAAGATGGCATTTTTTATTATCAATAACACATGCCTATTTCAGAATGTGTTGTTACACTTTAATTCTTTGCCAGAACAACAGATAATAAACAGTATCTTAGTAGGTTGTAGTTGGCTTTTTTAAAATTGTGGATTAGGGGCTGGGAAGGTGGCTCAGTGGTAGAGCGCTTGCCTTGCATGCTCGAGGCCCTGGGTTCGATTCCTCAGTTCTGGGTTCGATTCCTCAGCACCACATAAGCCAAAAAAAAAAGCTGGAAGTGGCGCTGTGGCTCAAGTGGTAGAGCGCTAGCCTTGAGCTGAAGAGCTGAGGGACAGTGCCCAGACCCAGAGTTCAGGCCCCACGACTGGACCCCCCCCCCAAAAAAAAAATTGTGGATTAACATAGAATTATACAAGGGCCTTTATAATCCATTTTTGGTGCTTGCTTATTCATGTATTTTGTCCATTTTGCAAGGATTTTTAGTCTTCCCCATATAAAAAGTGATTATATTACAGATACTAACCCTTTGTTTATAATTTTTTCTAATTTATTTGTATTTGACTTTGCTTAATATTTTTGAAATGCATTAGTTTATTTTCATATAGTCAGGTTAATCTTTTCTTCCAAATCCTAATAGTTTGTCTTGTAAATATCATATTGACTAGAAGTTTCTTTAATGAGCAGAAACTTGAATTTTAACATGTCACAATTTTTGTCCAGTTTATCAATGATTAATGTTTTTTGTGTCCCGTTTGAGGAAAACACTCCCTACTATAAAGTCATGAAGATTCTTTTGTCATCTCCCAAAAGTGAATGCATCCCCTTTGACATTTAACTCTGCTATCTAGCTATGCGTTGATTTTTACTGTGTCAAGTAGAGGAATTATGTCTCATTCTGATCCATTTTAAAATAGATTTGCTCAGCATCAGTTGTTGAAATGGCCACCCTTTTATCTATAGAACAGATCTTCCTATTTTGTTTTCTTTCTTTCTTTCCTTTCTTCCTTGCCACGCCGACTCCAGTGGAGTCTGCTTAGCATGGGAAACCATCTATCAGACCTAAGATAGGGGCTTCAGAGACCTATCTCTGAGTTTTGGGA